TGAAGGCTTCCTTCAATTTATAAACAAGTTCATCCCAAGTGCTGAACTTATTGGTCCTGAACCACATCAGGGCATCCTTCGTGAAGAGCTCAGGAGCCGATCGCAAAAGTTGTCCTTTAGAGACGCCTCGAGACACTCTAATCTCCTCAATACGCTCTAGAAATGTCGTTACACTGGAATCGCCATCATATTTGATATTCCATCTCCCTACCTCGAGATACCGATGATCAAAATCCGAGGGGACATAGTGCGAGTATGCATGCGAATTTAATAATGGATCGTCCGCACCTACATCATTCCTGAACGTTGACTGTAGGTGAGGCCTACCTATACTACTATGAGGAATATGATCCTCGAATCTAACTCCTAAGAACCGTCTGTTCAGAAGGTCTGCTTCCGAAGGCTCACACCTCGGTACATTATTCGGGATATGGATATTATCAGTGCATCCACTGGAACTTGCCTGAGGATGTTGTCTAGACGGAGGAACCTGCCTGAAAAAATCTCTATCCCTTTCCCTATCTCCTTCAACTTCTTCCCTTTGGACCCTAGCTCTATCCGTCAGGGGTAAAGATTGACTTGAATACGGCCTCTCTCTCATCATTTCCGCGTTTCTATCGGTTGGCATGGTGGGCGCATAACTCGGTGGTAGGGGAACTGATTCATCCAGAATGGAAGGTTCTGTGGATTGAGGTTGATTGATTTCAATAAGTGGTCGGTTTTCTGTCGGGTTATTTTTGAGATGATCCGAAACATCCTCTGTCGGATTATTTTCGAAATGATCAGAAACATCCTCCACCAACCGCATACATAACCCTATCAAACTCCTCCTTGCCGCTTCTACCTCCTCATCACCTGTAGGTACGCGTCTAAGTCGTCCCTGAACGTGATATAGCCGGGAAGAAATTCTCTTGTATTCGTTGACCCTATTATCATTATCATAATTTTGAATGCATGATTCCAATTCCTTCAATTTATCTCTACAAATAGTGAATTCTGATTCAGGTTCTAACTCAACTGACACGGAGGCTGGTGGTATGCCAGCTCCTTCGCAACGCAATGCTCCTCGAAGCAAAACCCTCTTATCATTCACCGTGCCTTCTATTGGTAAGCCTCTAACTTGCAACTCATATGTGAGTTCATCACTCAAAAGTCGGTTAACTTCCATATTTAGGAATCTCCAAATAAAAAAACAGAACAAAAAAACTCGTGAAATAAATCACGCGCACACGCACCCCCCCTCCTTCCTGAAGAAAATGGAGAAGCGTAATCCGTACAACCAAAAAAAAACTACTCGATTCAATATCGATCGACTTTAAATGAAATAACGGTTTTATTTTTCCAAAACTCGCCAACAAACACGAGTCCCACTCGCGTTCGAAGAAAAAAATAAAAAAAATCTATATATATATATATATACAGGTATACTTTGCTATAACCACTAGAAACTGATTCTTAGTAACTATTTATTCACCTGAAGTGAAAAGAAAATACCAATATGGAATTGCGTCCTGAATTAACTATCGAATAAAGTGTTAACTAACAAATTATATTCACCACAAGTTTGAATAATGTTCATTGATGAAAAGGTTTTTTTTTTTTCACCAAAAATGCCACTCAAACTATTTCCATCAAATTAAAATTGCTGACTGTCCTAGCCAATACTTTATTTGCTACTAACTGTGTACTAATTGGTTACTAATTAAATGATATCAACAGATAACCTTCCTGAATGCGTGCTGTTTTATAATTATTTTTGTGAATGCCTATTTTTCTTCAACTCCCTGTATAATCGTGAAAAGGTAGCACTTGATGTTTTTGGCAATGTTCCCCTTATGGCCAAGGCAATAGCAAAGACCGTTCCTGCCTATGGTGCCAGTTGGCAATGGACCTACCTTACTCGTATACTGTTATGAAATAAAAAGAAGAAGAATGATCGAATTTTGTAGCCACGACCAGAAACCAACTTCAGCTGACAAAATTAGTGAGGTTATGCCAGGTTATGAAATTGAATAAAAATAAAGAGTAATTTCATAATTATATCAACATTCAAATTATATGAAAACATCACCTGAAATGAAACAACCTCCCAACCATTATCCTAGTGGGCGCCAAATTTATAACGTTGTTTGCTTAGTCCCTGAAAAGGGGGCACTAAAAACAATGGGTATTTACTTATGTGAATAATAAAACTCAGGGGGTGGGTGTAAAAGTACAATATTCCTTTATTGTTGGTTGAGGTTGGTTCACTTCATATGGTGGTAAGTGGTGGTTAATTCTGAGAACTTCAAGTAGTGATTTATGAGCAGCAAGTGATGACTATTACAGATGAAACCATAATAACACAATCCAGATTGCAAGTTGCAGTGGAAACTTACCCAGCTTTCCCTCTGGTATCGATACCAAAAGTGTACAGGTTGATCACTAGATATACTATACTTAAACTATGCTAATACTGGGTGAGGTCAATGCATTATATCCTGAATTAGTGCAACTAAAAGAAGGACTAGATACAGCTCACTTTGAAGGATTTTTAGAGGTGACAGTGGCAGCTTGGAGCAGGAGTGTCCCACAGCAAGTAAGACAGGTAAGTGTTAGATATAAGCAGTCTGGCCTGCTCAAGTCAGCTTCTGATCCACAGGTCGAATCCTTGTTGGCTACCCTCTGTATTAAACTACAATTGACATGCTAGGCAGGAGGTATATGCAGGCTGGTGTACCCAGGGTACCATGCAGAAAGCAAAAGCAAAGCAGGCAATAATATAAGCATCTGTGGTTATAGCAGTAAGTACCCTTATTGACTACTCAAAATCGTTTTTGTTGGCCCTGCAAGTAATAATGCTACTATGTAGAAATTTATCAAATAAGCTGCAGAAATGCTTGATTCAACCCATACCTTGTTCGCAGGTGGCCAGATGTATCAACTACAGCGAGTTGTGAAAATGATATCTGATAATCAAATTCTGACTAGGAATTTTATCCCTTGGCAGGTAGTAGGCAGTGGACCGTCCTTTGACTACTTATATTTCCTAGTAAGTTTTGATTATACAATTTAAATCCGCAATAATGCGATGGCACGTTTCAATACCTTCATAGGTTATCAGAAAAAGCCCTGTCAAATATCATTATCTTGGCGGGACTTTCCCAGAATCCCGCCAAAATGACCCACTTGTCAGGTTATACCGTTTTAGGTTATTAGGTTGAGTTAGCAGTTATCTTATTTTCAGGTTGAGGACTAACTAGGTATTCCAGATGGAGCAGAAGAAGAAGATGACAAGACCCAGAGTCCAGACTAGTAATAACCTTCAACTAATATAGTAAGGTTAATGATGGATCAATGTTATTATTTTTCTACTACTTGATTTTTCTACAAGGTAAGATCATTATATTGCAAATGTTGTTGATAATTCACCAATATATATGTATTTCACAGATTTGGACCAGAGGAAGCCCACATCAGTAGAGATCGGACCGAGGATATCGAAGTTGATGGCATGGGTAAGTAACAAAATGGGGAAATGATTCCTTTTATTAATGGTTTCTCATTATTTTCCAGGTCTGCTGGATCTAAGCAGTACTCGAATGAAGAGGGAATATCCAGCATGATACCTATAAATGATCTGTATAACGATTGAATAAAGGATTTTAGATAACTCTGCTTCTAGTCTGTGCACATACTTACATTAAATCAAAGTGAAACCGTAACAACCGGTAGAAATAGGTAAAACGGCGCAGTACAAACAAATAAACGCGTTTTTTTTTCGTTGTTGGCTTTCGAACGATACTATCAGTCGCGTCAAAAAAAATTACCGGTAAAACATTCCTACCGCTTTTATCTAGAATTTCGAATTGCTCTTTACTGAAAACCTTGTAACAGTCTCAGGGGTTTGGTGGGTTTGCTGATAGAAACACTGATGGTTCAGGAGACTATTTATCTGCTTCTTATATAAGTTCACCAAAATCACGTGGTTGAGCGGAACGCCGAAAACCTAAATTTATGAAATGCCCTATGAGCCCCAGGACATTACATCATATGATATAAGAGGTGAAGCAATTATTCAAATAAGTAAAGAAAAGTATGTATAACTAACATGTGACCTGGAGGGATCGAATAAACAATCATAAAGTTGTATAAAAGAGTTTAACCCACCTAAATATGAAATGCAGGCACAGGCCAAGAGGTTCCAAAGGTTATTGGGCACAGACAGAACCAAAAACACCAAATTTGGGTTCGATCGACGTGGATATTAAATTCTTCACTTGGTTGAGAAAACTGTCCGTTCAAGAGTGAAATGACCAGCGCAAGACATTTTTCGGAAATCCCCCCCTAACCATAACCGACGTAGGTGCGCGCACGGATTTTGAATCTGTATCAATGAAAGATGGGTTGCCTAGCCTCCTGAAGAATATTTGATTATATTTAGAAGAGAGCATGGGCGGCGACATTGATTTGTTACAACCTTTACATTAAAAGGTATGGACGCCTGTTTTATGTATTCATCGTGATCTTCTTGCATTTGAATCAAATCTAACATATCATTTCCATTTTTATCCCCATGTGATTCAGCTCCAGACTTTATCTTTCTTATCGTACAATCTGATTTTATATCCTGTTATCCGACTCTATAATTCGTTTTTTTGCTGATAAAATAGATTTCCGTTTTTATTCGGACGGTTTTTTAAGTAACACTTCATTTTTAACGAGCGACCGTTCAATACCTTTCACGTGAAAAAATATTTTATTTGGGTGGCAAAAAGTTACCGAAGTTGAATAGACTTCAACAGTCTGACCGCGTATTATGATTTTGAATTTCTTACAATGATAATTATTATTTTTACACGAAGCAAAAATTTTAATAAAACCGCCTTTTAGGTATTTGGGATATCTCATTACGATGGTACAAACATTATTGATGAATTTCTTTATGCGATTTCGGAAATAGGAAGGGTAGTATCCGCTAACCAAAGGGTTTTTCCATATAATGTGATGAAAGACCTCACTTTTTATCTGAAAAGATCCCTCTAGGATGTTGCACTCCTTATGAGAACTCGGAGGTAGAGAATCGACATTGACCGAGTTTATTGGGAGAATTATGCTATTGGCCTTATCGGATAAGTTGAAGTTCTTCGGTATATTACAACTTTCAGGGGTTATCTCTAATTTCCTCTCAAGCAAATTATCATCATCATTGTTATTATTACTACTATTACTATGACTGAGGTTCTGTTTTAGTTCATCTGAAACTACCGGAGAGTTGATAACGTCATTCGAATTTTCCAATAACTGTTCATTCGAATGACATGGCACGTGATCTATTTTCCTCTTAATGGTACTAACATCGAACCGTGCCTTTTTACAAGGAACCAAGTCGGTATTTACGGAAGTCGAACACATAGCATATTGGTTATTTCCATCCTTAGTAATGGATATCCGACTCTCATTCTTAACAACCTGAAATTCAGGTTCCTTATACCTACTGAAATTCATCAGGTTCCTCATACTGACCTATAGGTTCGTCATCTTACAATAAATAGTCTATTAACTCAGCACTGTCCTCCGCCTGAGGAACCAACCTGACAAACATGTTAGATAGCATGAGTCTTGGCAATTGTTGTCCAGCTGTCTTTTCTATCACTGATTCATCGATGTATGTCTTGCCGACTCCTTGAGATAGGAAGTAACAGACAATATGAGGGAAGCAACTAGCTAGTCTTGCTATGGTTGGGGTATTTCTTCCCAGAGGAGCACTGCCCTTCTTCCTGCTATAGGTCTTATACGCATTGAATATGAAGTTCAATGGCTTTACTCATTGCTTTTGGATCTTCTCCAATGCTTTCTTTGTAGCTGTACCTCTCATCACGAAGAAAAGGATGTGCAATACCAAATGCTGATTGATATTTGTTGAACTTATAGTCATTATTGTTTTTGACTCAGTCTCCTCAGCTGATCCTCTCCTGAAGAATTCTTTTAATACTTGCTCAGGAGAGAAGCCGGTGTACTCAAGCGTCTCAGCTAGAAACTTAATGCTGATTTTGAAGGATTCGTCAGTTATTGTCCTGAAAATATCCTGGACAAAATCCGCAGTATTCTTATCTCCTTTAAACTTTGCAGCTATCTCATTCGAAAGGTCATACAAAGTATTGCGCTGATTAAAACTCAAATCCGCGAGATCAACACATAAGTTCGACATATTTGCTTCTTTTTCTTTCCCGTCTATGTGTAACGCCTATGAATAACCAAGTAACTTTCAAACCTTTTTCTCCAAGCTTTGTACTGAGCCAACGTAAGGTTGTCTACAATTTTGTCTGGAATCGGAATGGCACCAGTGATGCGGTGATTAGATACATTTTCTGTAGACATCCTACTTATACTTGGTGGGTTCATCGTAACAGGAACATCTTCATCGGGGCTAATAGATTTGTTTGGGATTAATTTATCTATGGTATCCTGAATTTGTTTCATTCGTGCAGTAAATGATGACTCCATATTCGCTAGAGATTGCTTCTAACAGAAGTATCGATGTTGACTCACTTGAAGCAGTGTC